GTAGGCCTTCTTGAGCTTATCCAACTCCTCGTGGCGTCGGTTTGATGTCATTTGCATGTAAATTATGTGGTATGCATGTAAATCTCCCAAAAAAAAAGACAGGATAGATTTGAAGGAAAGCATTAGAGAAACAAAAACTCATTTTTCACAGCTTCATATAGTTCTAGGAAGTACAAAATAGGGAGGAATAACAGCACATGCATTAATTGTAAATTTCAAATAAACGATTGAGATTTTATGCGAGTTAAATATCAAGCATATTTTTAATATATTATTATACCTTAATTTTACTCTATGTTGTACTCAAAAGAATATATTTCTCATAGAAGTTGCCTAATATGAAATGTCTGATGGACATAAATATGGCAGGGAATTGCTCTGCGAGGATTGTTCATAATTGACAAGGAGGGGGTGATTCAGCACTCAACAATCAATAACTTGGCCGTAGGCCGCAGTGTTGATGAAACCATGAGGACCCTTCAGGTATTTATGTAACTTTAAATTGCACAATGCAACCATAACTATTGGTAGCCTTCAAGAATGAAATAATCAATATCTAGTTGAAGTTTTGGTTTGAGATTGTTTCAACAGGAATTTGATCAAAAATGGATTTTTATTGTCATTAATTTTGTTTTGAAATGATTGCAATACAAGATATAGCACTCATCTCAAAGCAAATCTTTCGTATCACATACAAAATACCGATTTTTTAACATTCGTGAAGTGCAATACATCTTTTCATGCATGGCATATATGTAAAAATTTAATTTTTGGTTGTTATAGATATGTAAATAGTAAGTGGTATGTTTGTAAATCTTCCTAATCTTGAGGTTTTCTTCTTAATACTGCAGGCAGTGCAATATGTGCAGGAGAACCCAGATGAGGTTTGTCCTGCTGGGTGGAAGCCTGGAGAGAAGTCCATGAAGCCTGACCCTAAGCTCAGCAAAGAATATTTTGCAGCAATTTAGGGGCCATTTTGAGCTGTAAGCTTCATATTTTGTTGGTTAGCAATAGGGTTTTGATTATCTTATGAGACTGCAGGTAGATTTACATACATACCACACAATTCTTATGCATTTATATATCGAACACCTATACTTTAATTCTTACATAGATATCTCCTTAGTTTTCACTTTTTAAAAGTTAAAATAGTGGTATTTCTGATGTGATGTGAATGATTTAGGTGGTATGATTGTAAGAAAATATAGTTTGGGTGTTAGATATGTAAATTCATAGGAATTTGGTGGTATGCATGTAAATGCGGAAAAAAATATTTTGTTATGGTAATCTTTGTTCAAAAAGAATATGGTGGGGTGGGGCATTTGTTGTGGATAAGAACTTGTAGATTATAGGATGTTTGAACATGCATACATGAAAATATGAAAGGTTATTTTTGTAAGGTATTTGTTTATATTAATTTTTTTTTTTTTGTAACTCTGAATTTTGTTAATTTTATATTTATTATTATTATTTATTATGATTAAAAATCTTCTTTCGGCAAACTAACATTCAAATAGACAGACTATGAGACGGGCCCAATGATACCAAAATTGATTCAATTCAAGTCAAGTGAAGCCCAAGTCAAGCCATTAAACTTAATTTTGAAGCTTTAAGTGCATAATAGGAAGGGAAAAGCGATTTTAAATTTGACATGCCTATGGTTAAAATGAGTGTCTCACCAAGAAGAATCAACTAGCTTAAGATCGCTCAATTCTGACATCAATAAGACACTTAAATTTCCATAGGCCATCGTTGGATCGAGGGAACCTTCCCAAGCTGGTTTGATTAAAGTGGTCTAGATTCTTTTTTTACTTGCAACCAGAGCTTTGTAAGTAGAGCTCTAGCTCTACCCATTCTTGAATGAGGGCCCTAGACCCTGAGCCATCGGAAGACTAGAGTTTAGAAAAGGACTTGAAGCCCAGTATCATTTATGCACCGATGATCATGTGAACTCCTCCCATTTGATCATTGCTGATCACCGTCAACCACCGCTCGCCGGTCATTGTCGATCAACCACCACTCGCCGGCCATCTTTGATGACCATTGACCGTCACCACCTCATTGTAGAGAAATCCTTTGCAAAGTCGCAACATGCGCTTAAGAATTTCAGCGTGTGTTGGGGAATAGCGAAGAACCTGATGAAGCAATCACTTATTACATCATATAACCGCACATCTCGAAGATAATTTAATAGTTCTAGTAATTATTCCTAACTACAGCCACTCACAACAATTGTACAACGAGCATTGTACCTTAAAGAATTGTGCAGTTCTTTCCCGCATGTAGAATAAAGAACTGTACGTGTAATCCCAAATTCGTAGTGGATTGTTTCGACTGTGCCAGCACACGTGGTTTTTTTCATGTTCTGATTTTCCACGTAAAAAATTGTAGTGTCTTTGCTTCTTTTTTTTTTTTTTTTTTTTTGTTATTTGAGTGTGTGATAGATTCTCGTACAATGCCAAGATGATAATTCATTACTCCACCACAAGATGATAATTCATTACTCCACCACGAATTCGCTAACATCCATCAATAGCATATTTAATTATTTTTAAAAATAATAAAAAACTATAAAATGATTTTAATGTTATTAAAAATAAGTATTTTTTTTTTAATTTAAAACATATAAATATACAAATAATACTAAAGACATACATTTTTAAAATACAAAAAAATAAAAAAATAACCTAAACATGCCTTTAATTTTTTTTTTTCTTAGGTTATAATTAAAAATGAAAATTCAACAATTCTTTTTTTTTTATTATTTGGGAAAAGTTGAGCCCAAAATGCAATTCGAGCAATTCAAATCCGCAACCTCATGATGTGTAACTGAACTCTCAACCATTATGAGAATGGACAGGCATATACATACATGATACCACCCAATTTGTAAGTATTTAAAAATCTACATTAAATGTTTTTTTTACATTTATACCACCCAAATCTTTCATATTAAATAAAAAATATCATTATTTTAATTAAAAAAAAAAGGTAAATTTCATTTTCATGTAAAGTGGTATATATGTAAAAATAAAATTTAAGCATTAAATCTCTAAAAACATGATAATTGATTGAATATGTATGTAAATCTTTCTAAGAAAAAAATAATCATTAATTCCCTTATTCTTATCGTAGTTATCGTTTTCAAAAAAGAAGATAATTAAAGACCTTTTAGAACATTCAATCACTATAGCCCGATAAGTAGATCAATTTCCAACAAGAAAAACCGGAGGAATGATTTGGATGTCTTGTGACAACTGATAAATAGCCGCTGCCTCTGGAGTGTCTATGGGGTGATTAATGACGATGAGGAGATGAGTCTTTCCTCGGTCTAGTTTATTGGAAGGGTGATTGTCAACTTTGATGGGCTGTCGTAGGGTGGTTGGCTTGTGTGTCTCTGTCTCATCTTGGCTTGATGGGTCCAGGCTCGGACCATTTGCACGTCTTTAGTTTTGCAGACTCTGGCTCGAATGGCTGCATTAGGTCAGCTTTGGCATTGGCTTTTGTATGGACTGTTATGTCCTGCATTGACTTTTGTATGGACTGGTCGTCCATTGAGAATAATAATCACGGTTTGGTGAAGTTGGTTGGACGATGATTTCATCGAGATGAACATAAATTGATACTGATGAGGAGATAGTTATCGAATAATGATAGTCATATAATAATAGTTGGATGATGATGGTCAAGCAATAATATCAATAGTTCGACAATAATGGTTAGCCGATGAAAGTAGCTCATGTGAGATAGTTATTAGTTTCTTAGAACCTCTTCATTTTATAAATTTACTCCTCATTCATATGAAAATTGGGGGTCTATTTACAACTTCCCTAAGTTAATTTTTATTATTTCAGTCAAAAAGTGATTTGATATAGAATTGAATTTTTTCAGATTTTCAAAATTCATGAATAAAATGTAACACACCACTAATTCGGTCGACTAAATAGACCCTAAACATTAAAATCTTTGCAAAATTAGGCGCATACCACATAATTTTAATTTATTCATAGATATGAATTTTTGCATGTGATATAAGTACAATGACTTTAAAAACTGGATCAGACCAGCTGGTTCGACCGATTCAACCGTGAACATTTAACATTTTCGGTCCAAACTAATAATCATTTCTGCACAGAACATTGATTGTACCAGTCAGAACTATAGTTGAACAAGAAAACCAATGAATTGATCCTATTTTTAAAGAACCAGCCAATTCAAATATTATTCAACTTTAACGTTTTGATTTTGATATATTAACTTGAAATAAGATATTTCAATTAAATAAAATAAAATGCATGCCTCAAATTTTTTTATTTTGAATATTTTTCAAAAGACTTAAAAATATTCTCTTAAATTAAAATTTTAATTATTAAATCAATAAAAATAACATTTTTATATTACTATTATATTATTAAAATTATATTTAAATAATGTAAATATTTATTACATCAGTATATTCAATATTGTTTTAGCCATGATTTTTTTTTTTCATAACTTTAATAAATACATGACAATCATGTGATTTGCAAGTAAATTCCACGAAAATCTTTTTAATGTATCTGAATGAATTTATAGGACCGCCGCAGAGATGCATAATGCTTTAAATGTGCCAAGACATGACCTCACCTTCCGCGACAATGGCTAACTTAACCATGGTTAACTTCCCAAAGATGGTTAATTCCATGTGTCCGAGTCAAGTTTAAATTAAATTATGGTTAACTTCCCAATGATGGTTAATTCCATGTGTCCGAGTCAAGTTTAAATTAAATTTTCGGCCCCATTTAATTTAAAAATTATATCATCAACCTTTTCGTCTTTCATTGGCGTGAGTTTTCAATTCCCACGTGCCGGAGTTGGTGGGAAAAAAAATTTATTATTTTTATAATAATAATAATTAATTATTATAAAATTTTTAATTTGATATTAAAAAGTTGGTTGTTATATAACTAAATATTAAAATTAATTGTTAGATGTGTAAATATGTAAGAATTGAATTGTTTATATGTAAATCAACTTCTTTTAACCGTCCCGTTTCGAGTCAATTTAGGATTGACGGATTAATTTTGAATTAAATGGTGAACCTAAACACAATCCAACCCAACCCAACCCAAGAATATATTCGTGTTGAGATTTTTGAGCTGAACTCGACTAAAAAATTAATTGATTGAACAAGAAACCCCAAATTTTCATATCGAATTTGGGTCCAAGCAAGCTTACTATACTACCCTAGTGTAGTTAATATTTATACCATAAGTTTATGAAATATGAAAATTTTAATTTGTTAAAATAAATAAATAAATAAATATGGAATAATAATTACACAATTACAAAATGGGAGGCCAGGGGCAAAATGGTAAAATGACATAAAGTCAAACCCACGTTTCCACTGGTTTAAAATAAATTAAATTTTAAATTTTATAAAATTGGAGCAGTTATTTAAATACCACATGATTCTTATGTATTTTATATCTAAATCATAAAGTTTTTTTCTTACCATTATATCATAAGAAATGTCATTATTTTAATTTTTAAATAGTGAAATGTAAATTTTTCATAAATAGGTCAAATGGTATAAATGTAAATAATAAATCTAAATTAGATTTCAGTACTCATTCAATTTTGAAATTACAACATTTGCCTTTTTGACTAGATTGTCAATGGGGGTTTCAATTAACATTAGCGTAATTGTGTGATTTTTGACACATGCGTAATTGTGTGATTTTTGACCGCTAGAGATTGGAAAAATTTTTCCGTGCGGACTCCTAACGTAGTTTTACGTGCGGCGCAGGGTATTTATGAGTTATTTTTAGGTTATTTTTTTGGTTATTTTTAATAATCCCGAAATAACCCAAAAATAACCCGCGGTCTTTATTTTTTGGTTATTTCTGGGTTATTTCGGGATTATTGAAAATAACTCAAAAATAACCTGAAAATAAATTAGGAATATCCTGAAGCACGAAAATTTATTCCATACAGATAACGCTGCATTTTCGTTCTTTTCACGTGTTATGATTGACTGATTTATTACTATTTGTACAACCGATACAATAAGATTGCACCGAAGGGAAAGATCCAATGATTTATTGGTTGTACTGATTTATTTTGTCCAAAAGTTTGGAGTCTTATGTCAAAACTTGTAAGTGATAAAGTCAATCATATGAATTATGAACAAATTACCCAAAATTTATTTGGGCCTATGATATGTATTTCTCTTATGCCCACTCTTATGAATTCAGTGTAAGGAAGGAACATGTGTGTTACTAATTATGTATAAGGAATGTAAAATCAAGGAATTTTCTATGCTCAAAGGCTAGTTTTAAGAAAGAGTCCAATCCAAGCACCAGGGTAAAGTTCTAGAAATCAGATAGTAGGATTGTTTGACGTGCAATGATTAGATTTGTCGCTGATCTTGAATGTAGTTGGACTGTAAATAAATTTATAGATAATCACAATCATTCATTATTCATGTCAACTGATAAACATCTGTTGAGATCACACAGAGGAATCAGCGAAGACAAAGCAGTTGTGTTGCAATCGATGACAGAAACACGAATTAAAATATTGATGCATTCTGATATCTTGCCGAGGAAGTTGGAAGAATAAAAAATCTAAATTTGATGAGTTACATATAATCATATACAAAAAGATAAAAGAGCAAGAATTGAGTATGGAGATATTAATGTTCTAATGCAATTATTCAAGGAAAGACATGCAAAAGATAATTTGTTCGCATGAGATTTTCAATTTGATGAGTCAAATAAACTGATAAATTTGTATTTGGACTGATGGCAAGGTAAGGGTTGACTGCAATTGCTTAGAAGTTGTTGTAGTTTTTTATACAAGTTACTGATTTAATAAGCACAATTTACCTTGTGCTTATTTTGTGGGAGTTAATCATCATTAGTAAAATGTTTTGTTCTAAGTAGTCTTTTTATTCAGAAGAGAAATTTGATTAGTTCACTAATTATACTATTGAAATAATAAAACAAAAAAAAAGTAATTGTAAAGTGACATAATCATTGTGTGCTTATGTTGAGTTACATGAGTTACCTTAGTACAATCAATACAATTTAATTGTATAATGAAAATAATCAGAAAATTATAGGTATGATGAAAAGCAAAAATAAAAAATTTATTATATATTTATACCCATTTTTTATTTTTAATCAGATTTTAAAGAAAACTCAAAATTGTTGCTCATATCAATACAAGTTCATACAACCAATACAACATGATTGTACAAAGAGAAATAATAAGACAATCATAGAAAAAGAAAAAAAAAATTAAAAAAATTTTCTATCTATATACCATTGTTTTAGATTTTATTCAAATTTTAAACAAACTTGACATTTATGTTTTACTTCAGTACAACCGTGTTGTATGGATTGTACTCAGTTCCCTCAGTACAACCAATACAACATGGTTGTACAAGAGAAATAATCAAACAGTCATAGGGAAAAGTAAAAAAAAAAATTTAAAATTTTTTTTATCTATATATCATTTTTTTTGTTATTCAGATTTTAAACAAAATTTGATATTGCTGTCTTACTTCATTACAATCGTGTTATATCAGTTGTACAGAGGTAACTCAGTATAACCAATACAACTTGATTATACAAGAAAAATAATCAGACAATTATATGTACGAGAAAAAAACAAAAATAAAAAAATCATTATACATATATACTCAATTTTTATTTTTTTTTTATTTTTTTTCAGATTTTAAACAAAACTCGCATTGTTGTCTTATATAAGTACGACTATATTGTATCGGGTGTACTGAGTTATCTAAGTACAAGAATTACAACTTACTTGTACATGGAAAATAAGCAGACAATTGTAGGTACGAGGAATATAAAAATTAAAAATTCACTCTATCTTTATACCCAAATTTTTTAATTTTTATTATGATTTTTAAAAAAAATTAACATTCATACCTTACTTTAGTAGAACTGTGTGTATCAGTTGTTCGAAGTTAAATCAGTACGACCAATACAACAACGTTGTATTTTTGTACAAGCAACAAAACACAAAAAAAAAAAAAAAAAAAAAAAAATTTTCAGTTTGGAAAAAATCTTCAGTTTGGAAACAAAAAAAAAAAAAAACATTAAAAAAAAATATAACGGTTGTCTCACATTTGTAAATATGTAATCAGATTTACTTACGGAAAAGACAACTATTGGATTGCACGCAACTACTGTATATTATATTTTGATTCCAACGAGATTCTCAGTCTCTTTTTCTTTGTTACACTAGGAGATAAGCAGACATGTGAAGCCCTAGATTGAGGAAATGTTGGCAAACTAAATAAAGAAACTAAACAGGAAAATGGATAAAATGTTGAAGCCTAAACTTGGAACACCAGAGGAATTTTGAGGGTAGAAAATACCGAACGATAAACCGTAAAACAAACCCTAGAGATCTTGATGCCAATATCGAAATATGAAACATCGAATAAAACCCCAACACCAAAAGTCTCGATTTCTGTATATGTTGTATTTGCTTTTTCTAGATGGGCAAGCCAGGTCGGGTTGGGGTCGGGGTCGGGTCCCCAGTTATACATGTTTTTTTCCTCTTATTTTAAGATTAAAATATATTCTACATAGTAAAATAATGATAAAAAAAACCAAATTTTTGGATTGGCTTCCACACGTAACTCTACGTACACACCATATAACTCTTCTGCATTTACATCAATTACATTTAAAATTATTATTATTATTGCAGCATTTGATGGCAGAATAATTATGAAAGTTTTTGCATAAAAATAGTATTTTTATTTTTTAAAAAATTAAGGTATGTAATGTGATATTAAAATTTGAATGTTAGATAACTAAATACAAAAATTTAAAGGTTCTAATGTAAAAATATAAACATTATATTATATTTTTATAATTTTTTATTTTTATATAATCCATTTAGTTCACTTGAGTCGATTTCGAGTTGATTGGGCGAATTCGAATTTGATGATCAACTTGTACTCAATCCAACCAAAAAAAAAAGGTAGTGTTTATATTATGTATCCAAACTTGACCCCCAAAAGTTACTTGGGCCAACTAAAATATGAATTTTGAGTCTGATTCTGTTGAATCTTGATCTGTTCGTGAATCACACCCCAAAATCGAGAGTGTGTGTGTGTGTGTGTGTGTGTGTAATAATCAATATTATTGATTAGGTCATTCTCATAAAATGATTCTCCTATAAATAAAAGAGGTGTGTGTGTGTGTAATAATCAATATTATTGATTAGGTCATTCTCATAAAATGATTCTCCTATAAATAAAAGAGGTGTGTGTGTGTGTAATAATCAATATTATTGATTAGGTCATTCTCATAAAATGATTCTCCTATAAATAAAAGAGGTGTGTGTGAGTGTGTGAGTGAGAGTGTGGACAGCGCCTGCTGCTCTAGCTAATTGTCCACCTTTTCCAAGTGTGATTTCTATGTTATGTATGGCCGGGCCTAAGGGCATATCGGGTGTGGTGGGTTTTTTTTTTTTTTTTGTCTAACCGTCGATCGTTTATCTCCCGAAGAGGAGCTTTTTTTTTTGGCAGAATGAGAGTAGGATATAAGGCAGAATAGATCACCGTAATCTGATAGTCAGCTCATTCCTTAACGACGAGCCTTCCAAAATGTTCTTATGTTATTGACAATTCTTAGCCCCTGATGAGTAATTTCAGGGGCGTCCATGAGTCTGTTGGTGATACTGAACTTCTTCCTGACAAGAGGCAAATCGATGACTTTGATGAACTCAATCAGCTTTATTTTTCGGTTCGACTAGTCTACACACGATCGACCTTCAGCCCCAATCCAAAGGGTTGCATCTACTCATGTAAGTTGGTCGTCGATCTCCTGCTAATCTACCCTCCTTAATAATACTTCTCTATCTCCCGAATCATTGGATCTTCTCGAGATTCCTATTAGCACATTCTCGATGTACATTTTGTGTCAACTTTTTAACAACTCTTAACATACACGCACATTGCCATCTTCCAAAACTTCTCTCGACAGCTTATTACTTTATTACGCATACAAACCATGACCAAGCGACATAAAATACAATATTACAAAAGGCACCTCACCCCACCGAAAGACGTAGCATTTCATTTCACTACATAACAACTCCATTAATCTAAGTTCATTAACTCATTAAACAGTAATTAACTACCACGTTAGGTAATTAATTAAACTACATGGTCCCCACCAAGCTTGTTCTTAGCCTTAGTAACAGAAGTGATGGTGATCTTGGAACCGAGCAGAAAATTGCTCACATCGGCTGTGAATGAATCGTAGCTGAGGAACAGCTCGGCGACGAGGAGTCGGGCGACGAGGACGACGAAGTTCTTGCCGGCGCACTGCTTGTTGTTGACGGTGGGGCTCTCTGTCTCGGGGCCGTTGGACCACCACACGTAGCGGAGAAGCTTAGCGCCCTCCGCGCCGACGAAGCGGTCGGGAACGAACTTGTCGGCGTCGGCTCCGAAGACGCGGGTGTCTCTGGTTGCGATTGGCTGGTAGCCGAAGAGCATTTCACCCTTGCGCACCTGGAAGAAGAAGAAGAAGAAGGTGGGGGTGGGGCTCATCTTAGTGTGGTTTCCACATGCATGCCAGATTTTGGCTAGATTTGCTCAGAGGTTATTTGCATGCATATTTTTATATTGGCTAGATTTGCTCAGAGGTTATTTGCATGCATATCATATAGTTCTTATGTATTTACATATCTAACATCTATAATTTGATATTTACACTTATCATACTTTGGTGTCTTAAATCTATGCATGCAAAGTATATTTTTTTTAACTTAAAAAGGTTTAAATTATTGTGTTTTAGATGTCATGTTGAAATTTTGAGTGGTATAAAATATAATATAAATGTTTAGGTGCTAGACATGTAAATACATAAAAGTTGTAAGGGGTTTATGCAAATGCTCCTTTTTAAAAGGCATTAAATTCAGAACCGTCATGAGTTGGCCACAAGCTCAGGATATATCTGGCAGCAATTTTTTACTCAATAGTCATAAGATTTATAGGATAAAATAGTTGGCATAGGACAGTTTGATCATAATTTTATTCAAATTAAGTTTTGAAATTTTGAAATATGATTAAAATTAAGAATACAATTAAAATAAGAATAAATATGTAAATCATGAACCTTTATTTTATCTTTCTCTTAAGCATAATTTTTAGAATTCAACAAATATAAATTATTTATTTATTACACTTTTGTCATACTAGCTCTCTCTGTTTGGGGCAGTTTATTTGGTGCCGCGACGTTTTAAAAATGCACCTATTTGAATAAAGTTCGTTTTGACAGTTTATGCGTTTTCAAAATGTTAAAATCAATGTTTACACGCCGCACCGGTGGCAGCCTTCTAGCTATATTCTAACTTTTCCAAATAAATTAAGGCTTTTCTAAAAAGATAAAAATTTTTAATAGTCGCACCTAACTTAACAGCAAATTATTTATAATAATTAATATATGTTTAAATCATGTATATTATCATATTTTAATAGTCGCACGATAATTAATATATGTTTAAATCATGTATATTATCATTTCAATTTATCTTTCATTAAAAAAAAAAAAACTTTTGGCCGATCGATCAGATTCAACCGTTGACTTTGAAGACAGTTGTCAGATCAGTCTGATTCAATTAAAATAAAAATTAAAAAAAACGTCAAAATTAATTACCTGAAACGCGGCGTCATGGCTGTGCAGCACGAAATCCTTCTTAGCATGAGCGTACTGAAACTCCACTGGCGGGTCAATCCTCAGCACCTCATACACCACCGAATTAGTTAACTCCATCTTCTCCAGCGCCGCCACTGTCAACCTCCCGTTCTCCCCAAGCTCCGCCACCGCTCCCCTGACCTCCGCCGCCAGCTTCGTGTGCAGATCATTCCCTGCTTCCGCCAACCTCTTCACAACTCCGGGGAACAGCACCTTCAATCCTCCATAACTGTTGAAACAGCTCGCAAACACAAGGTTATGACAAGCCTCCTCGCGCGACAACCCCAGCTTCTCCGCCATGTCGAGCGCCGCCGCTCCGGCGGACTCAAAGTACGCGTACATCTTCTTGTACCCCGGCTTCGCGATAATCGAAGGTAGGGCGAAAGTGTGGAGAAGAAGATCTTCCACATACTTCGGAACTTTAAACGGCGTTAAAACGTTGCTCAACAGAGGAGCGAGTTGCAGCAGCAGCCAAACTGTCACCTTTGACGGCAAAGAAGAATCCCCTGTTTTCGACGGCCGCGCGCCGAAATAAGCGTCGCTGATGAAATCGAAGGCGAGGTTATCGTTCAGAGCGTTGAAATCGGCGCGGCCTTTAGAAGCGATTTGAGATTCGATGGAGGAGAAGATTGGCGCGGCGTAGGAGGAGCGGAAGGAGGGGATAATGGCGTCCTTGCGGGAAGCGAGGAGGTTGAAGAGGAACTGTTTGATTTTGGTGTGGTTGGGTTCGGAGGGGTCGAGGTAAGAGCAGACGCGGTGGCCGCCGGTGAGGTTGGTGGAGGGCATGTACGTGCCGGTAAAAACGTCTTTTTTTTCTACTTTAGATGTGTCGAAGAGGATGGGGAAGCTTTTGGCGTCGAGAACGGCGATGACGCGGGGGGCGGAAGCCATGAAAGCCATGAAAGGACCGGGTGGGACGTTGGTGCGGAAGACGGTGGAGGAGTAAAGATTGATTTTTGAAAGAAAAAAATCATCTTTGCCTTTGAAGTAGTAGTAATCGAGGCGGTCTTTGATGGGGGAGAGGAAGGGGGTGCCGTAGCTGCCGGGGATTTCTTTTGTGGGGAGGGCGAGGAGGGGGTGCTGTTCGGATTGGTGTTCGGCGGCGGCGGCGGACGGGTGGAGGTTTGAGGTCATGATGGCTGAGGACTGAGTAACGGGTGGAGGAAGATGATGGGATTGAGTGGAAATATATAGAAAAATGGGGAGGAGGTGAGTTTTATCTATTGTATAAAATATGTGGGAAAATAACGATCACGTTTTTATATTTGTTTATTGCATTCCTGGCACGCCTCTCCTCTGTTACGATTTTAAAAAGGTAGAGTTACATGCTTGCCCTAAATTCTTATGTATTTATATATCAAAAACTTCAATTTTTATACATTCCGCCGTATGAATGAATGAAAATGTGCATTTTTTAATTTTTTTTTAAGAAAATTGAAATGGTGTTATTTTTTATGTGAAATGAGAGATTGTTAAATGTCTCTACTGAAATACATAGGATTTGATGTGTATGTATTGAATCTTGATTTGTTCGTCAATCATGTATTGATGGAACTAAGCAATGGAAATGAGAGAGAGAGAGAGAGAGAAGAGTGCCCGATAATAAACAATAATCATTTCTTTTATTCATAAAATGATCGCATATTTATTGGGGATAATGTATAATATGTAAAGTTACATATTTATCCTTGCTTTAATAAGGGTGTTATAAGATATTTTGAGTATTTTACATGTATGGGTCTATGGCTCTGCTATCTTCTGGCACGATTGACTGAGCTCGATAGGTTTCGGTTCGGAGAGGCCTGCTCGTTCAGCTGTGTTGAGTTGAGATTATTGTCAGCCCTTGATTGACTTGGCGTTGGAAGGATTGGCTCTATTGGCTAGATTTTATAGTTCGGTTGATCCAGTCTTATTGTCGACATTCGATCCTTAATGATGAGCTTCTGTTGGTTGAGTGAGGCTATGTTATCGAATAAATGGTGAATTATTGTAACCCGATATGCAGCTCACTCCCCAACATGGAGAGCCATATATATGTTTTAGACTTCCTGTAACATGATTACCCCTTGATTCCTAATAAGGAGTTTATGGGACTGTCGGCACTATTTTTGGTGTGGGGTTTGCCCGTAAGAAGCTGTCGGTCATCGGAATTGAAATCCCGTTGCCCGCTTCGTTCACACTTGGATCATTTAGACATTTTTAGTCTTGTTGACACTGGCTCGGATGACTGCATCTAATTAGCTTTTGTCTTTACTTTGGTTCAAACTGTTATGTCCGGTTAGATAAATGAGCCTCCTAATTTTTTGCTAATGGTCCCTCTTTAGTTGTACTTTTATGTTTTCTAAATTGATGGATCTTTTGGAGATTCTTGTACGCCATTTATTTCCTTATAATAAAACTAAATTAAAAAAAAAAGAGAAGGGGCATGTTTTCATGTAGATATTAATTTTATACTAGTTATATTGTATAAAGTTTCTTAATTGTTGGGTGATTTATATGCATAGCACTTAATGTACTATAATCTTTATATTTAATGCCTAAATTTTATTATTAACATCCCATTAGTTCTTGTTAGTTGATCTTGTTTGAAGTTTGACAAAATAGACTAATTATGGTCAGATATTCATCTGCACTCGTTGATGAGGAAGGGTTGAAAAGTACTACTCCTCCTTGTACACTACTTGAAAGAGAAGGACTAGGATCACGATAAGATATAAAAGATCAATTACTTGTCAAATATTTGCTATTTGTTGTTACATTCAAAGGCATTGAATTCGTTTAGGACGTAAGGTCTCGTAATGTTTATGTGCTATGCACAAATACTATTGGTATTGAGCTCTACGAAAGGATATGTATGTGTTTTCTCATAAAGTTTTTAAGTCACGACATTTGATATTATTTGTATATTCAAGAAGATAATTATTGTTATGATTTAACCTGAAAAATTATTTATTAAAATGAACAAAATTTCACCACAACAAGTTCCTATATTTTATCTAAATATCTTCAAAATTAATATAAATATTGACACGCTGCCAATAGATTTTCATCACCCGATAAGAAGAATCTCGAGGCAATCTCTTAAGTAAGAAACATTAAAACTTCAATCAAGAGTCATCAAGAGCTCTGATTTCAGCAAATTTATAGTCAAATTGGCTGGTTCGATAAGACGGACCCAATGATATCAAAATTAGTCCAATCTGAGTTAAATAAAGCTCAGATTAAGTCATTAGACCACTCTTAAAAGTTTTTCGAACATATTTAGAATGTCAAGCGAATTCCAAGTCTAGCAAGCCTATAGTCGAATCGAGCGTCTCGACGAAACGAATCCAGTGAGTCCAAGATTGTACAATTCTGACATCATTAAGACACTCAAATATTCATCAAATAGCGTTTGATCAATGGAAGCTCTCCGGACCATTCGTTCGAAGTATTTTATTTTCTTGCATTAATTGTACCCAAAACACTATAAATAAAGTCTCACTCCTCTCATGAGGAGGAGGAGAGCTTGCAGCCTAAAGAAGAGTTTGAAGTTTTGATGAATTGAAGCCCAGCATCACTTCTATCATCGTTGACCACCACAGTCCGTCGTCGACCACCGTCGACTGCTGTCGATCACTGTTGACTTCGTCTACCACTACCGACTATGGTTGACCACCACTGATCGCCGTCGACCACTACTTGCCGGCCTCCACCGATTTTCATTACCCTCCACCCTCTTCTTACAACAAGTTTATTTTGCGCTACGTTATAACTCCGAAAAGCGTTCAACTCTTTCCGAAGAGGGACTATACATGTAATATCCAGTTTATGGTGAATCTCTTTAGTTCGACTATGCCCCGTGATTTTTTCCCTTTATGAGTTTTCTACATTAAAATTTAAGGTGTCACTACTGGTTGTTTTCTTTCATCTGAGTGTGCGTTGCATTCTCGTGCAATGCTAAGACGATAATTCATTACTCAACAACCGCCACAAACTTTCTAACACGCATCAAATATCATTCTTTTTATAGAGGAATTTTATTCTAAAATAGATAAATCACCCGAACAAAAATACTTTCATAATCTACTCTACATATCTTTGAATTTGACATTTTACTCATAGCGATAGTTGTTTGGATTTTCACATGGCGAAAAATGCAATTTGTATTTTATTAAGGAGCCTAAGATCACGTTAAACCCGGCTTTATTTGTAACCTCCACATCAAGTAACGTAATATTAAAGGTCAAATTATAGAAAGGAGCACCGCATAATTTGAATTTAGGGGAAATGTTAGGAAAAAATATAGAAAGGAGTAGAAAGGTGGGAGTTTTATATAAAACACTCACATGAGGGCATTTTAATTAAAATGTTATTAAAAATAAATTATTAATATGTATTATACATTATTCTAATTAACTTAAATATTAATATATATTACATATTATTATGAATAAATTATAAATATATATTTCATTAATGAAGTTTTAGATAATATTAAATTAATCACTACATTTTTAATGTTATTTATCAACTTATAATTATCATCCTATTAAATTATATGTTATATATATCATTGTAATATTATGACTAAGAAAAGATGAATTTACTAGCTAATAAGCCCTATTAAAAGTATATGTGAAAAAAAAAAAATTAACTAAAAATAAATCAAATTTATAATACCTTTTCAACTTTTAAATATATTCATAAGATCATGTTTACAAAATTATATTACCTTCTATGACAAAGTTGAAATGACACATAAGCCCGGTGTGTATTGAAACAACTGTTGCATTGGTCGACTTCACAACTGATGTTCTTGAAATTCTATTTCAACTTCTTCTTCTTTAGTTTAATCTTAGTTTGACGTGACATCCAATGATTTTCTTCAATGATGGGAATTAGTGGTTTATAAATTGGATTTTCTTCAATTAAAATTTAAGTCATGATATGTGATTTTATTTATATATTAAAAAAAAAGAATTATTTTAATGATTTTAATATCATCTAAAAAACTATTTAAGAATATGAACTAAATATCACCATTATTTTATAAAAGGCACCTAAGATCACATTAAATACGGCTTTATTTGTAGCATACACATCAAGCTATGTAATATTAAATTTGTTAAAAGTCCGGTCTGAACTTGACCCGCCTTCATCCTGATTGACCCGAACTCGACTCATATAAACACATTTGATATGTGCATAAGCTATTTGGGTCAAATTATGCTAAGTGTTGAGTGAGTTCGAATCAAATTCAGATTGACGGACCTGATTTAGATCAATTTTAAGTTGGGTCGACACGAATATTATCCAAAATAATTAAACATGTTGATATTTTGGATCAGACCAGACCAAAAAATTGATTAGATTAACATGAACTCAAATTTTTTGAGCTAATTAATTTCGAGTCGAGCCTATGTGTAGGGTCTATATTCGACACCATCTAAAAACAATAGATAGAGTTATTAGTTGATGATAGTAAGAAATTGCTTCCTCTAAATGAATTTTATTCATTTTCTACTTATAATATTAAAAAAATTATTTTCAAAATGTATCATTTTTGGATTTTTTAATGTATCAAGCATCCAAAATATTAAATATAACATTTTAACCAACCAAATTTATACTTATAACTTTGGATATTTGGTATGTAAAATTCTTAATAATAAAATGGATAAAATTTATTTCGTCCCACGTTGCCTCATGAGAGAAAATATTTTGTCTGTCTGGACATTCTGACGACTACGTTGATTGCATCACGTCTTGTGCTTGAAGTGTGGTGTGGTCCAGACCGTCGTCTGCAAATTCGGTTATACTTACATTCACAATAGATGGTGTGGATGGTCTACATGTCAGCTCAACTGTATCCAAACCGTCGTCTGGACGTGCGATCAGCCACACATAATAATTTTTTCGTGGAACACATTCTCCTCATATATTGGAATTGAGTTAAAATTTCGTAAGAAATGTAAAATTCTGAAATTCATGATTTTAAAAAATCATAAATTTCAGAATTTATAATTATGGGAGCTAAAATTTTTTGTGAATGCTTGAATACATAAGCATTAAGCATTATTAATTATAATATTTTATTTATAAAAAAATATTTATTTCAATTTTTAAAAGTTACTGAGTCAAGGCGAATACATAGTTGGCGGTTGTAAGCGAGCAACACAGA